GCAGGGATACCACTCATACTCAATTTTCTAGGATATGGCTCTACAAGTTTCATCAATAAAAACCACCCCATTACGAAATTTTTGGTGAACTTTGACTTCCACTTGAATTCTAGCATAAGCAAACTTATATTTCTTTGCAGTAGCCTTATCTCTCTTAATTGGTGTGCCAATCAGGCTGCCCAACTTACTCAGCCCAAATAAGCTCCAGTACTCCAAATCCAAATCAGGGAGCTGAACCCAAATTGGGATAATAGACAATTCTTCAATAACAATTTTTACCCTGGCTGCCATTGTTATACTACGAATGGTTTATTGTCAAAGAAGTAGTATTTCCTCCTTGTTACTTCTGTAACACCCTAATCCGTCCAGGTCTGCAGCCCCTTTCGGACTAAAATATTAACTTGGTAATCGTAAAAATTTAAAACTTTTCACACTTTTATTTATCACAATAAAATTTTTCATAACATATACAGTATGAAGTATTCAACAATATTGCAGAAGCGAATTTAATATTGACATATCATAAATCATTTCAAACTTGTCACATCCATGCCGACAATCTCGCCCCATCTTCCACCAGGATCACATTGTTCTTTCTGTTTACCTGCGTGTAGCAACTAAAACACACTACACGCTCAGCGGTAAAGCTGAGTAAGCATATCTAATGCGCCGAACATCCATATAAACTGAATCTAAATTCATAATCAAATCATTTGATATCAAGCACACAATGTTTATTTCAGACATTCACAGTTTTGGTATTGTTCAGTTCATATCAACACATTTATTTCAATTCAGATACTATTTCAATAGTCCTCTTAAACTATTCTTAATCTAAGGCCAGATCATAACAATGCTCTTAGCTATTCTTAGTCTAAGGCCAGATCATAATAATGCTCTTAGCTATTCTTAGTCTAACGCCAGATCATAATAATACTCTTAGCTATTCTTAGTCTAAGTCCAAATCATAATTTCCATAACCACATTCTTAAAAAGCAATTATTAATGAGACACTTAAACTATCATTAGTTTAAGACAATTGATTTCGGACACTTAACTGTAGTCAGTTAAGGCAATCAGACACTTAAGCTATCATTAGTTTAAGGCAAATGATTTCGGACACTTAACTGTAGTCAGTTAAGGCAACAACAATATAGCGAATGATCGACATTGGATCAGGCATTCCCAAACGAGTGATCCTCTAGTTTGGACTATGAATCCCATTTATGCATTTTTATCTAGTCCATCACTATTCATGTTTTCATAAGTTGGTTCTAAGATTTATTTTAGAGGTCTTCTAGATAGTCTTAACATCAATTAGCTAATAGGTAAATCTTATAGTCTTCTAGATATCATTAACAATACACATCATTTTCTTGTTAATCAATTTATCCATTTTGAATTATGGTTCAATAATTCATAATCATAATTTAATTCAAGATAGTCAAACAAACATACCTATTCATAATTTCATCTTTACGGTTCTTTCGTTCAATTCCATACATTTTTATTTGTCATAATAAAATCATGATCGTTCAATTCCAGCAACAGTACTTCATCGTCAACCTCAGGTTAAATTTTTGAAACATCATTTTAAGCCACCAATCTTCAATTAAACTATATAGAAATGTTCTCCAATGTTCATAGATCATTTAAATACCATTAATTCGAAGTTTTAACAACAATTTCAAGATTTATGATTCTTGGTTCTTCAATCATGTCAAACACAAAACTCAACCAAATAATCGTTTATGAACGTAGAAACGATCTATACGAACATTCTAGTCATTAGATATATCTACGAGCTTACCTTAAAGCTTAACGAAGATACCGATGAAAGAACGACAAAACTTCCGGCAACAACCATAGCTTGCTCCGGCGACCTTGATGGCAATTAATACTATCAAACTACTCCCTCACTCTCTAGCTTCTTATGGAACGAGTTTCAATAAGTTTTGTGTAGAATTGAGAAGGTATGGGTTCACCTATATAGAAGAAGAAGGAAGGAAGAAGCCAGATGTTGTGTCACCTATCTCCTGTTCGAACGGCGATAGTGGAGTGAAAGGCGCACTTTGGGATTTACACGTCTTCCCTAGATTTGGACCAATTTTGGTTCCAGTCGAGATATACTTTTTGGTCCAATTTTCTCCAAATTGAAATCTGTTTGCACCGTTGCGATCAGACAGTCGAATTCTATTCATCGACATACTTTTCATAATTATTTGTAATACTTTTTCCGACATCCTATTTTTGGGTTATTGACTTTGACAGAGTCAAAATTGGTTTATTTGACCTTTATTCAAAAAGGTTCTCACATTTAATTCGTATCATTTGTTCGCATGATTTATTGCAATAAATCATTTTAAAGTTCATATTATAAATAATTTCTTCATTTATTCTTGATTTAGGTCTGTACTCAGGTTCCGAATCAAGACCACACAAATAGTCAACATATTGGATTTATCTCTATGAGACTTATCCAGATTTTGATATTGTATATTAAAACATATTTCATATCGGTCCAAAACCCAATAATAATTTATTTTAATCAAAAAAAATTGATTAATCGAATAATTATTCATTAATAATCCTAGGGTATGATTTGGGGCGTTACATCCCCCCCAAAGGAATTTCGTCCTCGAAATTATTCTAAGGTCCACAATGAACATCTGTTGTATTCATAATTAATCGTGAAAACGTCATGTTCGCATGGTTATGTTCTATCTTGTAGATACGTATTCTCAAATCATTGATGTCACCAAACTCGTTCAATCTTGAAAGATTAACAATATTCGATTAAGCAAGGTCTTCACTGATCCTTTGATGACAAAAGTTCCTTTATAGTGTATAGTATTGCATACTTGACATATTTGTACATAACTTCGTTCAATTACGAGTCTCGTTTGTACGTCATCAGAAACGAGGCAAGAGTATCTCACATTCTCATATTATGGAAGAAACTTCTATAATTTTTCCTTACACCATAAAATTCATTGGTCTACTTGGTAGTCATGCTATTGGTAGAAATCCAAAGTTCATGGCTACGGCGGTGGATTTAGGAAGGGAATTGGTAAGGCCAAAAATAAGTACAGGTACATAAATATTAAAACTAAAACTTTTCTCTCGAAAGAGATATTTCATAAATAGAAAACATTTATCAAACACATCATATATCATTAGATAATTTAAAATAAACCGTATTTTATTTTTTAGATGTCAAAATTTTAAAAAAAATGCGAACCCGTGCGAAGTACGGGATTAATACTAGTTTAAAATATATAAAAAGGTGTCAACTATCAAGAGACCCGAAAAAGGGGAAAGAGAGGGTGAAAAATAGATGCCGGAGTTGAAAATTCGGAGCTAGATTTATAGGCTGTCGTAGCTTGGGCATCCACCCCCCTGGGCATCCAACGTTGGACGTGTTGGCCTTGAATGTCGTACCCCGTAACCATTTTGATGTGCCAAATAAGTCTTCCAATGCTACTAACATCATTTGCAGGAAGAAACCAAACGCCAAACCTCTATTAACTTGATTAGCATCACCGAGATGTACTCCTACGAGTTTAGAAATAATTGTGTAAAGATAATGATATATTTAATGATTTACTTATGCCCTTTCACTCAAAATATTATTTCTAAAATGTCAAATATATTCTTAGTTGAGGTAAAATGTCAAATATATGTCAAATATTTCATGTCAAATATCAAATACTTATGCCCTCACTAAAATCTTAAATCCCAATTCCCAACATACAATGCTACTAATATTTGATTGAAAATTGATTTTAATAGACATTATACTTGATCTTCGTGATAATTGGATCGGGTTTTAGGTAAAATTGCTTATTTTCCACACAAAAATTTAGACCTACTTTTGTTCAAAAGTGTAAGTTAGTAAGTAAAACCTACTTTTTAAGAAAAAAATGCACTGTTTACCCATGAACTCTTTGAAAATTGCATGGTTTATTTTTGAACATTAAAAATGCACCGTTTATCCTTGACTCTTCGAAAATTGCATGATTTTCCCCTGAACATTAAAAAGTGTACCAAATACCTTAGAACAATTTAAAAATTTGCACCGTTGGTCCTAAAATGCTAGATAGGGAGTGCGTTACTTCCACGCACAGGAATTGCAAGTATGATTCATCTGGCCCTTGTGAATTTTCCAAAGTACCCTTTCCCAAAATTATCATCTTTATTTAAATTTTCAATGATAAACCGTGTAATTTCCGAAGAGCGTTTGTGGTGCACTTTTTAAGGTTCAGGGCTGATAGTGTAAATTACCACGAAAATGCTAAGTAAAGTAATCGGAAGGGTTGTAGGTGGAAACACCTGAAACCTGACTTGTTATTAATGAGAGTAGGAACTATTACAATCAGTACAGGCCGTGTGGATTAATTAAAGCATGCCTCACAAATGAGGCTTTTAAGAGTATTTATAATAATCCTAAGCACGTCAAGCACATCTCTGACTATCCATCCGGTTAGTTGGCTGATCGGTCCCCTAGGCGCACTTCAAGAATAGATCTTCAGTGGTTGGCTCCGACCAACCCCTCCAACCGGGCAAACAACCCGGGCTGGGAAGGGTGCGCGCTGTCACTTTTATGACCACCCATACGGGCGAACCAACCGGGCGGTATCCATGGGTTATTACCCATCAAGGAGTCCTCCAATTCCCGGTCTAATGGGGACCATCAGGGGCGGGAAGCACTCGCGATCATCTTCTGAAATTCGAACTGCCAGTCGAATTTTGCCGGGAAAATCGTCTCAGCAAACCAGCGCAAACCCAAAATATTTGAATTTTGAATTTTTGAAAACCCGGCTGTCAAAGGCGGGAGAATCTTTTTAAAATTGGGTACGAAGCTGCCGACTTGTCGCGCCGTTTCGTCTCCCCGAGAAGTTATAATTACGCATCATTTCGGCTGCCACGTGTTGTTCTGCCATTCGTCCGTCTGGGCGGAACCTTCCCTATATAAGGCGAGGTTCCCCCTTGAATTTCCTCACTTGCAAATCTCCAACTAAAAATCTACCCGGTTGCTTCTGCTTTTCCCCGAGTCCCCTTGTTCCAAGTAAGTCTCTTTCCTTTTCTTTGAGTCATGTCTGACCGCGAAGACAGCCAGAACCCTTCCGCCCACTCTTACAGTTCAAGTGACCGGTCTCAGACTTCCAGTTCCTCTTCATCATCTTCTTCTTCGTCTGAGCGCCCGGCTACTTCCCCGTCGAAGAATCCGGTTGACGCTTCCACTTGTGCCCCTTCTTCTTCCATGGCACAAACGATCTCGGTTGCCCAGCCCGGGGATGAGGGCTTCATTCAGCTGGACGACCGGTTGCTCCAAGAGCAACCGTCGTACATGCAGAAGCCCCAAGTTCACGAGCTGCGCAATCTGATGCCCGATGGGTATCAATTGACGTACCGGGCAACGTGGAAGAACATCATTTCTCTCCACGTCGGTACGACGATTGATATTCATTACCACTCTATCAAGGACTTAGGTGAATTCTCTATTCACCCATTCAAGGTCCTCTTCCTTGAGACATACGGGATCATGCCCGGGCAGTTGGCCCCAAATGGTCACCGTATATTGAGTAGCTTCATCAATGTTTGTCGTTTTCTTCGCATCAAGGCCGGGCATTCCTCTGTGGCCTTCCTCCTTCTAACAAGAAGTGGAAGGACAAATACATGTCCATTAAATTCCCCCCGGCCGCTTTTCATTTCGCCCAAAATGTCTGGGGAAAGAGAATGAAGCGTCAGGTCAAACACTCGGAGGCCGACGACCTGGTCGCTTGGCAGGCCACTCTCTGGGCCGGGGACGCTTCCACTCGCGGTCTTTACAACGTCGGGAAGTGGAGCGTCTATCCCGGCCGGGAGACTGATCCCGAGCCGGAGATCATTCTGTCTGAAGCGATCCCTGAGGCCGTCCCCCTCCGCCGGGTTAGAGGGTCCAAAGCCCCGGTTACTGCCGCTGCCGGTCCCTCGCGTCCGGGGAAGAAGAAGAAGGCGAAAGGTCAATCAACAGCCCTTTTCAACTTTCCTTTATATTCGTCATCTTTCAACTCTTCATAACTAACCGGTCTTCTTTTATTGTTTCAGTGGTGAAGTTTCAGTCCAAATTCGCCACCCCATAAATCGTCGTTGAGGAGCCCTCCACCGCCCAGCTTCTCAGCCAACCTTCCGTCCAGCCATTCTCTCTGGACGAGCAGCCGGCCGAGTCTCAACAGGGGACCAGCTAGCCCATCCACTTAGGGAACTCTACATCAATGTAGATACCCTGGAGTTCGACCAGCTGATGGAGGCTGGTCAAGCAAACCAGCTGGCCGAGGGAGGCCACAACGAAGAGGAGGCTGCTGAAGAGTCTCTTAAAAGGAAGAGGCGGAAGACTGAGGTAGTCAATCTGCGATGTTTGGTTTGCAACCCGCGAAGGCATATTGACTTGTCCTTTTCAAAAGGATAAGCTTTTGCCCGGGCGCTTTGTAAAGCCAATCTGTTTTCACAATGGCTTAATGCCCTTGTGGAAAGGTAAGCCTTACGTTTTTCTTCAATACGTTTGGCTTAACTGGCCGGGATGCTCTCCCTTTAGTTTAGCCAAATCGTTTGACTTCCGTGTTAGTACGGATGAGGAGTATGACCGGTTTGACCGGATATTTTTTTTTTTGAGATGCCCAATTCGATTGGACATCTAACCGGGCAGAGTGGTGTGCGACCAATTACCGGTTGATATGTAAGAACAATATTTCTGAAAAGAACAAGTTTTTATTGATAACCGGGAACCCATTACACTTCATCTAAAAAATTTACGCAAGTGGTGAGAGTTCCAATGCCGGTCAACTCGTCCACCCTCCATGGTTTCCAGCTGATAAGTGCCCGGCCGGATGATCACCTTTATGCGATCGGGTCCTTCCCAGTTTCGCACCAACTTGCCTCTCTCATTAGGTTTACTGGCATCCCGTCTGCGCAAGACCTCATCATGGACTTGGAAGTACAGTGGGCCCACCCGGTTGTCGTGATATCTCTTTACGAGCTGCTAGGGTCCTTCGTTCTTCCACCAGATTTAATTCAGCTAGGTGGTCGACCTCGTTCTAACAGGGCTGGTATACGGCCTCTCTAAATGTTGGAATTTCCATCTCAACTGACAACCGGTCTTCACATCCGTAAGTGAGCACAAATGGAGTCTCTCTGGTTGCCCTTCTTGAAGTCACTCTATGCGCCCAGACTGTGTAAGGCAAAGCTTCCAACCACTTGTGTCCCTCTTCACCCAATCTCTTTTTTAGCCCGTCCACTATCGTCCGGTTAGCATTTTCAACTTCGCCATTTCCCTGTGGATAAGCTACTGACGCCTTGCTGTGCTTGATTCTAAAACTAGCCAAGTACGCAGTGAACCGGGGGTTGCGAACTTGCGGGCCGTTGTCGGTGACAATTATTTTTGGGGCTCCAAACCGGGTAACAATATTCTTCCAAACAAATTTTTCACATTTTCGCACGGTTATGGTGGCCATCGCCTCAGCTTCAATCCATTTTGTGAAGTAGTCAATGGCGACCATCACAAACTTCTTCCCACCTTGGGCGATGGGGAAAGCTCCAATAATGTCAATTCCAAACCGGGCAAATGGTATGACATTAGAGGTCGGTTGGTAATAAGTGGTCGGTCTGCCGGGATGTTTGTAAAAAACTTGGCATGTCCTACATTTTGCACATACCGCTCACAATCCCTAACAATGATCGGCCAGTAGTAGCCCAGCAATATTATTCTTTGAGCCAATGTGCGGGACATTTGATGGGCTGCACAAACTCCCTCATGTACTTCGGCTATCACCCGCTCGGCCTCCGGGTTCGTAAGACAACGCAGAAGAGGTCCTCCGATGGCACGTTTGTACAAGTGGTCGTCCAGTACCTGAAACCGGGGAGCTCGTAAGACAACCTTCCTGTATCGTTCTTCGTCGCTTGGTTTTTGGCCGGTCATTAAATACTCCATGAGATCGTATCTCCAGTCATCATCCGCTTCAATCACCCCGGTAGCTGAGCTCTGACCTAACTAAACGGCTGCGACCTCAAATCGATCTGTACTCGGTTGATCTAAAATCTCAAATTTAGCCAACTTCGACACATGCTCCGGGCAGGATTGCATTAACTTCAAAAGCATATCAGCGTCTGTGTTCTCCGACCGGGGTATCCTAGTCAGACGAAACTCTTCCAATTCCCTTAGAAGTGCTCGGACCAGGTCACTGTACCGGGCTAGACGCTCCTCTTTGATCTCCATCTCGCCATTGATCTGTCCAACTACAAGACTTGAGTCGGAACGAATTCTCATTCTCTTTATTCCGAGTGCCTGGGCTAGTCTAAGGCCACCGGCTAGTGCCTCATACTCCGCCTCATTGTTGGTATGCTTGAAGTTGAAAACCAAGGCATGATAGATTTTGAACCCTTCTGGAGTAGTGAAGACTATGCCGGCTCTGCATCCCTTCGGTCCAGAGGCCCCATCAACGACCATGTCCCACCACGGTTCGACCGTATGGGAAGGTCCGGCCTCAGGCTCCAGACCGGTCAGTTCAACAAGGAAGTCGGCCAGAGCTTGACCCTTGATCGCGGTTCTAGGTCTATACTCAATCTTGAACTGAGTGAGCATCATTGCCCACTTGACCATCCGTCCTGAAGAGGTTGAATTTCGGAAGACCGGCCCAAGTGGCTGATCAGTCAATACTTCCACAGCGTGAGCTTGGAAATACGCGGTCAGTTTTTTGGCCATTATGAAAAGTGCATACGCTGTTTTTTCAATGGTAGTATACCGGCTTTCTGCCCCATTAAGTGCTTTGCTCACGTAGTAAATAGGCCTCTGGCCGTCTTCATTTCTTATCAAAACAGAGCTTACAGCGTTTTGGGATATGCCAAATACAAGTACAAAGTTTCATTGGGTTTGGGTTTAGACAAAATTATATCAGAAACTAAGTACTCTTTAAGCTGCTGAAAAGCTTCTTCACACTCCTGGTTCCATTCAAACGTGTTGGCCTTCTTTAGGACTCTGAAGAAGGGCATGGCTCTTTCAGCAGATCGGGATAGGAAGCGACTCAAAGCTGCCAACTGCCTGGTGAGTCGCTGCACGTCTTTCAGGGAACCGGGCGACCTCATCTCCGTTATGGCCTTAATCTTTTCGGGATCTAGCTCAATACCCCACTTGGTCACCATAAACCCCAGGAACTTACCGGTCTTCACAGCAAAGACGCATTTCTTGGAAACCAACCGGCAATTTGTACTTAGCCATAATCTCGAAGCAGAGCCTCATGTCAGCCGGGTTGTATACTGCATCCGGGCTCTTGATCAGCATATCGTCTACATAGGCTTCCATGGACTTACCGAGGAGTGGCTTAAAAAGCCGGTTTACCATCCTCTGGTAAGTAGAGCCTGAATTCTTTAGTCCAAAAGCCATCACCCGGTAACAATAGGTGCCTTCAAGAGTCAAAAAAGAAGTCTTCTCCTCGTCTTCCTCAGCCATAAAGTCTGATGATAGCCTTTGAAGGCGTCCATGAAGCTCAGCAACTCACACCCGGCCGTCTCATCGACCATCTGATCGGGACTGGGCGCGGGTATGAGTCCATGGGGCAGGCCTTGTTCAGATCCGTGTAGTCCACGCACATGCGCCAGGTGTCGCCTTTTGGTGCCAGGACAACGTTTTCCAACCAGACCGGGTATTGTACTTCCCTTATGTGCCCGACCGCCAGCAAATCCCTCACTTCTTTCTTCACAAAGTCCCTTCGAGCGCTTCACAGGCCGGCTACCTTCCATCACAGCCAGACGATGGCATATGACAGAACGGTCTATGCCCGGCATGTCCGACACACTCCAAGCGAAAATATCCGCGTACTCCCGAAGGACTGAGATGATTTCTTCTCGAAGTCCTCCGGGCAGATCCCGGCCTATCCGCACCATTCTTTCCGGGAAAGCCTCCCGGAGAACAATCTGCTCTGTCTCATCCCCCGGCTCCAGTTTTGACCATTCTTCTTCCTGGGAAACCAAGGTAACCCTCTCAAATGCCTTAGTCATTTTCTTTACGGCCTCCAAGTAGCAAGACCGGGCCTTCTTCTGATCTCCCCTGACCTGCCCTATACCTCCTGGGGTATAGAACTTCATACAGAGATGGGCCATGGAGATGACCCCACGGACTTTGATTATTCCAGGCCGGCCCAAAATGGCATTGTGAACACATTTGATGTTCACTACCACAAACCTCATCTGTTTTTGGACGACCTGGTCCCCCGTGCCCAATTCACAAGTTAAAAGGATTGACCCTTCAGCTTCCACAAAGTCCCCGGTAAACCCGGACAGAGGAGTCTTTAAGGGCTCAAGCCGTGTTCGACACAACTTGAGTTTCTCGAATGCATCCAAGTACAAAACATTGACACTACTGCCTATGTCAACAAGTACCCGGGAAACATCGACTCCACCCATGTCCATGGTTATGACCAGGGGATCATTGTGATCTTCGCCGGTGGCGGGAAGGTCTCGGTCAGTAAAAGTGATTGGTTCCCGTCTGGCTTGTTTTGACCGGGGATTTAGGGCCACTGTTCCAACGTAGAGCTCTCTCCCCCATTTCTTCCTTTGGGAAGCAGAGTCTCCCCCTTCCGGTCCGCCGTAGATGACCTGCAAGTGCTCCTTACCGGCTGTTTTCTTCTTTTTATTCTGCTCGGCCGGCTATCCTTCAGGTCTGATCCATTGGTTCTTCTTTTGCTTGGGCTGAGCCAGGTATTCTGGACCAATCTCCCCGGCCTCGATCATCTGCTTGATCACTCCCTTCACACTGTTACACTCAGCAGTGTTATGGGAGTCAGTTTTGTGGAAAGAGCAATAGTTCTCCGTCCATTGCTTCTCGCCGGCCGGTTTCTTTTCCGTTTTGACCGGTTTCACCTCCATGATTTCTGTTTTTACCTTACCGGGCAGTTCAATTCCTTTTTTCAAAGAAATCCTTCCTTTGGGATGGCCCTGCTCGGCCTCCCTCTTGAACGACACCTGTGCTTCGGCGTCGGCATAATCACAGGCTGTGTTGTAGGCCTCTTGGTAGGATTGGGGAGGCCTCCTGCAAAATTCTTTGTACAATTCTCCGGACCGGAGTCTGGACACAAGGAGGGACATGGCGGTTTTATCGTCCATTTCCTCCACTTTATCCACTTCATCTTTCCACCGGGTGAGGAACTTGGTTAGATCCTCATGTTCCCGCTGCCCGGCTGTACTCAAGTAGGTAAACTTTTTCCTCTTTGTACAGTTCTCTTTGAACTTTTCTTGGAACACCTCGGCCAGTTCATCAAAAGAATCGATTTCCCCAGCCGGGAGGTTGTGAAACCACTCAGCGGCCCGGCCACGGAGTGTCTGAAAGAAAAGTAAACATTTTTCATCCCCGGAAAGGCCCATCATCCTTCCACTTTGATGAAGGCTTTTGACATGTATTTTCGGGTCCTCCTTCCTGGTAAACTTCGGGACCTCCAACTTTGCTTTCTTTGGAAATGGGGTCTCGTGAACCCGGTCTGTGAACGGAGATTCGTTTAGCAGGATTTTCTTCTTTTCGTCCTGGTCCACCCGGCGCTGCAGCTTCTCCAAACGTGCTTCGACCCGGCCCACACAATCCCGGGGTTGTTCAACATGGGAGCGGATCGTGTGCCTAGGATGGCTTTCCGCTTCTTCTTCTCCATGGGGCGCCCGGCTATGTTGGGGCTCTTGGCGATGGGGAAGTTCTGTGCGCCTGGTCCGACCAGGTCGCTCGGCCCCTCTACCCAGGCGATCAAAAGCACTCAACGGGGTTGTTTCCACTCCTAGTCGTTCTTTGGCAGACCGGTTTTGATTTCTGCCCTCATGGCCAAGCCTTTGAAACGCTGACCTCCTGGACCCTTCAGGTTGAATAGCTTTTCCCTTCAGCTTCTTTTGTGCCTGGGGTACATCCCAATCCTCATCCCTGCTATGGACTGAGCGCACATCGCCATCAAGCGTGATCTGTGTGCGTGACCTTCGGGACTGACTCCTTCTGGACCGGGATGGACCAGCTTTGTCCATCTCTCCGATCAGATTTGTTGGAGCGACCGGGTGGATGATATTAGTTTGGGGCAAGGATTGTGGGTATAACACGGGAATGAAAGGTGAAAATCCTCCCGGCTGTTGAAACATGGACATGAACTGCCCAAAATTTTGGAATGCCTGTGAAAACAGCGGGTCCATGGGCCCGGGAAAATTTGGAGAAAAAACATGGATAAAGGTGACGGGGGAAGTGAATGGAGTAGGTGTTGGAATGGTGATGATGGGGGTAGGAATCTGGTTTGAGGGTTGGGCACTCCCTCCCGGGAACGAGGCGACGTTCTCAACGGGAGTAGAGATTTGTGAGATGACGGTTTCCTGATTGCTTGTCATGACTTTTTGTAATAGGTCCCACGGGTGGCGCCAATTTGATAGTGTAAATTACCACGCAAATGATAAGTAAAGTAATCGGAAGGGTTGTAGGTGGAAACACCTGAAACCTGGCTTGTTATTAATGAGAGTAGGAACTATTACAATCAGTACAGGCCATGTGGATTAATTAAAGCATGCCTCACAAATGAGGCTTTTAGGAGTATTTATAATAATCCTAAACACGTCAAGCACGTCTCTGATTATCCATCCGGTCAGTCGGCTGACCGGTCCCCTATGCGCACTTCAAGAATAGATCTTCAGTGGTTGGCTCCGGCCAACCCCTCCAACCGGGCAAACAACCAGGGCTGGGAAGGGTGCGCGCTGTCACTTTTATGACCACCCATACGGGCGAACCAACCGGGCGGTATCCATGGGTTATTACCCATCAAGGGCTAAGTAATTTCTAAAAAAATTCAGGGATATCTAGTGTACTTTTTAATGTCCAGAGGAAAAAATCGTGCAATTTCCAAAGAATTCGGTGGTAAATGCCCCTTTTTTTAACAGGCAAGTGTACTTTGCCCCGTGTGGGATGTGCCCAACGTACAGATATCCAGCATCTTACTAGTTGAGTGAATGGATTTAACATCTAAGTTTCTTTACATCTAGCTCAAAAGATGATACCGTGATGGTGGGATAAATCAATACTCCGTATTATAATTTTGGTGGGTTGAGTAAATTTGGTGGAGTGAGAGGTGAGATTGACTACTTATTTTACTAGGTGCTTATACCATAATTTTGAAAACCGAATCAACCGGTTCAGATTGGAAACTTATGAATCGATTCTGTACATTCCACTAGACCACTACGTTTGAACCAGTTTAAACTGATTGGCTAAAGCAGTTCAATTGATTATTTATCTCCTTTTTGTTTTGAAAAAAAAGGGTTAAAAACCACACAAGTATGGAATGAATTCAAACTCTAAATCTCTTGGTTGTGTCAAGGTATTCACCAACTATGTCAGAAAGCATTTTGTTGCAAATTAGATTAAAATAGTACATGTGACAAAAAGAATAAATATTGCTCCAATAAAAAGATTTCTTCTACATTTCAAGTAAAATTTTAAAATATAATCCTATAACTAGAATATAATTCAAAATTATAATATTTGATATTATTGATACTAATATGGACTACACATCATGAAAATATTTCATTTAAATATTTTTTATATTTGGGGAAATAGTTGGACAAATAGTATCATACTTTATTTTATAAAACTTTAAATATCATTTTTAAATATGTAAAGACAGAATTAGGTACGAGGAGGTGTTGAAGAAAATAAAGGACAAAATTGCATGGCAATGACTTGGGGCATGTAATTTTAGGAAAAAAGAACAAAGTAAAGGTAAAATATTGAAAATACATCAAAATAACAATTTCATATTTTTATTTCTGAAATAAAAGTTAACTTGCATATGCAATGGCAATCATGATCATATACATTACCGAAAAGTATTAAGAAATGGTCATATACAGTACTACATCACGACTTTTTTTCATGTGAGGTACCCCAACTATAAGTTTTGTAACAAAAAGCTATATCTTCTTCGACTTGTAACAAAAATAAATCTCATCTTTAAAAAAATGTAACAAAAAGATGCCTCTTGTCGGAATTTTGAAAAACCGTCCAATGAGTTCACGAGGTGGCTTCCTAGTGTATATTTGACATTTCATATGCCTTCCAAATTACGGAGTAACTTGTAACTTCTCCTATACATGATTAACTTTGTACTTGACACATATAAAATCAAGTTTTATTTTTTTAAAAAAATTACTCCCTCCGTTTGGAAAAACCCTTCCCATTTGATTTGGGGGCAAAAATAAGGAAGTGTTAAATTATAGTTAATTTCCAATTTTGCCCCTAATGTGATGGTTAAAAGTAAGATGTGATGGATAGATTATTAGAGAAAAAGTATGATGTGATATGTAGGGTATGAAAAAGTAAGGGTAAAAGTGGTTTTTTTAATAGAAAGGGGAAGTGTTTTGTTGGAAGTGGAAAAAATGAAAGAGGAAGTGTTTTTAAGAACGGAGGGAGTATATTTTATTTATGAAGTATCATTTTTTAATATGTATAAAATACTTTAAACCAAACTAGCGGCTACTTTTTAAATAATTGTCTTTATTGTAATCTAAAAGGTACAATTTCTTATTTATTTATATTTTAAATATTTACAATCTTTTGAAATTAGAATTTAAATAGATTAATAAACCCAAAGTTGCATAAACGCATCTTCTAAACAATACTTCGATAACTTATAAAAACTCATAAAACTTATCAATAATACTTGATAATAATGATGATGATAGTCATAGTAGTAGTAGTAAAAAAAATAATGCTCATTTTTTAAAATTTAAATTTTAAAAAATCTCTAATAAATCTATAAAAATATATTATAGACAATTATGAAAATAGTATTGCTACTTGTTTTTAAAATACGCAGTATCTTGTAAATTATAAAATTTATTAAAAAAAATAAAATTCAAATAAAATCTTAGAGAAAGTACGAGGTTAAAATAAAATTAAAATATACTCCGTAAAATATTCTTTCATTAGAAGAAGAACATTAAATTGTATAAATAAAAAAAGTTTAATTTTTTTTAAATTAACTTTATATGTGTCAAATACAAAGTTAATAAAATATTGGATAAATTAAATGTTAGTTTAGAAGTCAAATGGAGTGCCACATGTACACCATAAAGCTCAGAAAAATGCCTCATGTGCACTCACTAATCATATTCTTAAAATTTTGGCAAGGAGTATCTTTTAGTTACATTTTTTTAAAGATGAGGTACTTTTTGTAACAAGTTTAAGATGAGGTGCCTTTTTGTTACAATACGCAAAGTTTGGGTACCTTCTATGTAAAAAAACTGTAATATGACTATAGTCTAACCTTTTATTTTAGAGATAAAAATATGAACCTCTTATTTTGATAGTTTTTTTATGTTTTACTCCATATACGGTGCTACATTACCACATTCCAAATAATAGTTTCATGTTTTTATTCTTGATATAGAAATTAAAATGGGTATATCGTTCCAATCATGATCACATAGATTACCAAAAAGTATTTTGAAGTATCCATACACAGTTCCATATTACCACAATTTAAAATTTTATTTTGAGATAAAAATAATAAGTTCCTATTTTGATACTTTCTTAATATCTTGCTCCTATTTAGAATAATTTCTTATATTCGAAAGATATATTCGATCTGTAAAAATCTAAACCAAAACGAGTTGAAGTAAATTCCGTTCGCGTAGGTTGCCGACTGCCGAGGGAGGTGGCCAGTCAAGTTTTAGATCCAGATCGGATGAATGGACGGAGGCGGATCCAAAAATATTTAGCCACGGGGTCCCAGTTTAAGTTCTATTATTCAAACTAAATTTCATTTGAGACAAACTAAAAATATTTAGTATGTGAATGACATTCTAAATTTAATAACTAAGTAGTTTTTTTATAGTCATAAATTTTGCATTGGAAAACTCTTAAAGGATAAAATTTGTTAGACTATCCACAACCACAACCTTAAGCTTTTGGTTAAATAGGTTCATTAATATTGCATCAAAGTTTTACCGACCTGAAATCACAAGTATAAATCTCACCACCAACCAATTAGAAAACAATTAATATTCACATGCAAGGCTCGACCATAAACAAAAATTGTTCACTCGTGTGGGAACTTGTTAGAGCATAAACAAAACTCAATTGCTATAAACAAGGATTTCCTAGGAAAAGTTTTAAATGAAGAAGATTTAGATCTAGAATTTGTTTGAAAATGACATTTTCAAATATTAGTATTAGCGTTTTAAATAAAATTAAAGATATAAATTAATTTTAAAAATGGTAAAGCCAAACACTACTGTTAGATAATCTTTTTAGAACATTAATGCTAAATGCTGAACTTGTTTCCAAACATATTCGTATATATATACTTCAAAGATTAGCATCCATAACTTCACAATTCATCAAATGCTTTGTTTTTCTACAAATGAACAATTTTTGTTGTAAAGGGAGATTTGAATACCGAAGATCATTGAAATTAATAATATTTTCACTCCAATTAACTTTCTTAAAGCTTAGTTACCAAAATCTAAGTCAATAAAGCATACGATAACACTATAAAATTTATCACCTTAACTCAAATATTCCCTATTTTTATACTACATACACTTATTATACATGCACGAAATTTAAAAATTTGTTAAAAGGTGAAAATTGTATAATTTGAATATATTTAGAAGAGAAATAGATATTTTGTAAAATAATCAATTTTTTAAAAAAGGGAAAGAAAATAGTAAAAAATATTTTTGAATGATTATATAAAAAAAGTGTAAAAACTTTAAGAGGAAATCGTTATAATTTGATTAACCTATTTAAAATGTGTTTTTTGTCTTTGCTAAGAAGAGTTTTTCTTTACGGAGTAATTACTAAAAAAGAACATTAAAATTGTAAAGGTATTAAAGAAAAAATATCACAGACGTGGAGCAGGAAGAATGGAACCCGCAACCATTTCATAATTTTAATACGCGCATAACCACCGGAGCACATACAACATAGCAATCCTAAAAAAATACAAAAAATCTGTCTCTGCCTACGGAACCCATCTCTTGGCCAGCATCCTCCAGATGATGGCGAGAATCAACAATCTCTACCCGTCCCCAGCGGCGGCGACGGCGGCGACGGCGGCGCCCCCAGCGGCGGCGACGGCGGCGACGGCGGCGCCCCCAGCGGCGGCGACGGCGGCGACGGCGGCGTCCCCTGCGACAGCGGTGACGTCCCTTGCTCCAGCCATCAAATCAGCCGGGGCAGCGACGTCCCCTGCTCCAGCCTCCAAATGAGCCGCGCCCCGGAAAATCCAGGCGCAGAGCCGCAAGAAACAGCGGAAAAGCCAAATCACCCATGTTGCAGAGAGAGTTCCCAACACCATCACAAGTGTGGCCAAGGAATCGGGTTCGGGCATTTTTGAAGAGAGGGAGAGAAGGCTCGAAC